ACACTCCAAGGTATGTATCTGCCATAATCTGCTTATATAGCTCCTAATAATGAATATTTGGGGGCTTTCCCCATTTTGGCTACTGCAAATAAAGGACCTAGTAAACATAAACTCCTATTCTGCTGAATAAGTATAATTGTGTTGCTTAAATTTAAGACAACTTTTTGTCCGAAGCAAACCAGAAGCTGAAGGATTAGACTGATTTAGCATCTTCTTTTACGTTAAGTGAGCAAAAGGAATCGTAACTAGAAAGCCTGGCTTATTAGGTGAGACTCACCCCAACCTGCATGATACTCCAGAAACCACATTCAGTGAGGAGAGACTCTTTCCTTTAAACATTACAAACAGGCAGTGTTCTGTCCATTTTCTGTTTCCATAACAAAACACCTCAGGCTGGGTACTTTATAAAGAAAAGAGGTCTATTTAGCTCACAGTCTTGGAGACTCAAAGTCCAAGATCTGGAGGCCCCATCTATTCCACCTCTGTTGAAGGTTCCCTTTGTTGCACTACAACATGGCAGAGGGGCAAAAAGGGAAACAGCCACAGGCAGAGGTGGCCAAGCACATAGCATAGTCTTACTTTATAAGAACTCAACTATTATGACAACTCACTCACTCCACAAGACCAACAACAATCGCTTCTGAGATCAACACCTTCCTAAGTACTTAATCACCTTCCACTGGAACTCATCATTTAAAAGTTCCACCATCTTTCAACACTACAACATTGAGGACCAAGTGGTCAGCACACAAACCTCTGCAGAACAAATCATATTCAAAGTATAACAGAAGGAACAGCAATAAAGTTCACACATCTTTGTCCTGACCTCAAGTCACAAGGCCTCTACTGCACACAAAAATACAGAAAAAGACATCCATACACACTTATATAATAGAGGGCTTTTCAATTACTTGCCCTTTAAGGTCTCCTCAAACAGATTCCACCTCACCAATGGATAGCTACCTGATAATTTTTGTAACTTTGGGTGCATAATTCACTCCCCTAAGCACTAATTTCCCAGTATGTGATATAGGATAATTATGGCATCTATCCTAGTGTTATTTTGAAGATTAGATCTTGTGTAGCAGGTTGGCTTAGTGCATAACACACTTAAGTACACAAATATTAGCTATTATTAATATCACTATATTTCCAAAGCTAGAGTATAGTCAGTCAGACTTTCATTTTCTATCTTCATAGCAAGGTGAAGATCAGTTTCCAAAATGAGTGTGTTCCACAATAAATTAATTCAGCAAGTATTCTGTAAACTAGAGTTCATAGCCAAGCAAGTTTTAGCTTAATTTTCTAAAAAACTGCAGAACATCTCATCAGTTGTTCATGCCAATGTACACTATTCCTGTCCCCATAGTGAAATCTAGCATATAGCATTTTCGAAGTAATGACATTTACTATTTCCCTATTACAAAAATCTCATGTCTCTGGGGCACTAAAAAATACACTTTGGGAAATACTAGTTAAAAACAATGCTGACTATTCATATAAAACAAACAGCAGCCTCCAGAGGATGACATATGCTCTTCCCATTTCATTCAGTTAAATATTATCTATACTTCCAATCTCAGAAGAACCTTCCTAAACACTCCAAACTTAATCCTACTATATACTCTTTGGCTCCTTAGACTTTTCTTTCATAATTCTTACTGCTATTGGTATTAGCATACTTGAAAGATTATTTGACTAATGTCTGTCTCCTGTCCCACCAAACTATAAGCTTCAATTATGGTAGTGACTGTGTATTTTACTTAACCCTATATCCCCAGCATCTAGTAGACTATGGCTGGTACCAGACACTAGATGTGGAATAAATGCATGGATACAAAAATTTCACTGCAACCTTTTAAAAGCCACAATAAAAAACTAAAAAGAACTCAAATGTTTATTAACAGAAAAGTAATTAAGTAAATTCCTGTTTATATTACATTATTCACCCATTAAAAACAAAGAACTTAATCTCCATGCTCTGATACACCCACTTTGCTAAATGAGAAAGAAAACATACTTTATTGCATACACACTACAGATGTACATAGATGTCTAGAAACACTCACAAGAAACTTAACAGTGATTAAACCTAAACAGGACTAGGGCTGGGAACAGCAATTATCACTTTCATGTTTTTTATACTTCTCTACTGTTTCCACATTCTTCAACAATTTTGAAGTTCTTTTCTAATTAATTTTTTTTAGGCTTTAAGCAACTTCAGATCAAAATAAATTATAATTTGCTTTATGCTTAGTGCAGATTCATATCCCTATTTCTTTAAAAATGTTTGAAATGATCCTCACAGCGATCCTGAGAAGAAAGTAAGACAAAATATTTTAATAACCCAGAATTATAGATTAAAAGCTATAGGGAAATTGCCTGACATAACAAAACAAATGATAGACCTGGAGCTAAAAAGATCTTTTCTCTTAGTTCAAAATTCACTACGTATCATTATCTCTCCAGTAGAGGAAACAAGGCTAACTTACAGAATTGACATTTTATTACCAAATTTAAACGTATCCCCTTTTTCACCCTTCCCAACCACCACTTGCACACTGCTGACCAATGACCACAGCGGCAGGGCCTTTTTAAAATAACTCCCGTGACAGGAGATTACAAAAGGCGATTGCTACTTTACTGTTAGATAATTTCCTCATATTAAGCTGAAACTTATCTTTCTTACTCTGACCCTTTGGTACAAATTTGTTCATTTGAAGTGCCACAACAAAATTTCTCTCTTTTTTCTAGAATATATTTAAGTATGAGAATGGGTGCTTTATCTGGATATACTTCCCCCCCAAAAAACATCTATCATTACCCAACTTCTAATTTCAGTTAAGTCCTGATAAATCACTTGGCAGAGGAGAATAAAAGAGAAGTATCATGCACAACATTTGAGTTCTTTTCAGTTTTTTACTGTGCCTTTTAAAAGGTTGCAGTGAAATTTTTGTATCCATGCATTTATTCCACATCTAGTGTCTGGTACCAGCCACAGTCTACTAGATGCTGGGGATATAGGGTTAAATAAAATATACAATAGGTGTAACCTATTGATAATTGGCACAGTGTTGGAAAAATCTTTCCAAATATTGCTTATGATTTTCTTTCTGAAAATTTGCTCTATTTAAGTGGGAGAAAGGAGAAGTCCTTAGAGGATAATTTACTGAACTGTCTTACACTTCACCTTGTAAGTTACGAGGTAAAACTAATCACTTCTGACTTTAAAGGGAATTACCACACATTTCTTACCAGTCCTGAGGTAGAGTCAGACGGTTCTGGAAAGTCTTAGCTTTAGACACAAGATTTTTGAGCCAACTATGTATATTATTTATTAGTTCTTAGTAAAACATTTGTTCCTTAGTAAAATATTTCTTGCTATTTTTGTCAGAACTTCCAATAACAAATAATCTGGTGGTCTGACCTACTGAAAAATGAGACTTCTTCACAATTTTAAAGAGGAAAAGGAAATCAAAATCAAAATCCTTGTGACAAAACTGTAGACATCTATTTGGTATAGTGCAGCTTTTTCTTTTTTCTTTCTTTCTTTCTTTTTTTTTTTTTGGTACTGGGGATTGAACTCAGGGGAACTCATCCACTCAGCCACACCCCCAGTCCTTTTTTGTATTTAATTTAGAGACAGGGTCTCAATGAGTTGCTTAGTGCCTCACCAAGTTGCTGAGGCTGGCTTTGAACTCGGGATCCTCCTGCCTCAGCCTCCTGAGTCTCTGGAATTACAGGCTTGCACCACCACTCCTGGCTAATGCAGCTTTTTTATTCTGGTGTAACCTATTGATAATTGGCACAGTCTTGGAAAAATCTTTCCAAATACTGCTTATGATTTTTCTTCTGAAAATTTGCTCAATTTAAGTGGGAGAAAGGAGAGGTCCTTGTAGGACAATTTACTAAACTGTCTTACACTTCACCAATATGTATCACAATTTGTAATGACATATATCTTGTCTTAATTATTGCCCATATTATGCAGAAAACTCTTAAGTTCTATAAAGAGTCAATACTTGTGAATACTGCACAACCAGGAGCATAGGGCCTTGCACATGGAAGGTGCTCATTAAATATTTGTACAGTAAATGAAGAGACAGAGGAAACAAAATAAGACTACAGGTTACTATAAACAGATGACTTTGCTTTCTCACTCAACTAATTACTTACTGAACACCCATTATGATCATTTAGTTTAGCATTACAACAATCCTTCCAGATTTCTCACTTGAGACAACATTAAAGCTCAGATAAACATTAAATAACTCAAGTCTCAAACCTAATACATTTGAATTCCAGTTTAAATATCAAGTTTATCTGATGTAATGTTGGTCTCTAATATGCCCTTGTGTCGTCAATTTTGTCCTCTCCATAGGGATAAGGGTGCAGGAAGAGATGACCACAGTAAATTAGTAGTTACATACAACCCAATTTCTCTGGCTTATCGAAACAGTCTGAATTTTCTACCAGTTTACAGAAGTTCTGCTAAAGAAGTAAAAGACTTTATAAAGACCAAAGCTACCAGTTTTACACAAATCGAATAATTTGCTTATCAAAACAATCTTAAGAAAAAGAGAAATTCCCATTACGTTGGTGAGGACACTGAGGCTATTGCTTGCATAAACTTGGTGCAAATTCTGAAAGAGACACTCGTGCCATAATCCTTGTTTTCCTACCCCAAACGAGAAAGATCCAGATGGGAGCGTTCAACGACTCAATTTTCTCATTGGCACCTTAGGTTTGAAGAGGGTCCCGGTCCACTCTGTGCAATTAGTTAAGTGTGTCGATCGTGACAAGTATTTACGAGGAGACAACATATCCAGGTCAAACAAAGGGCGTGGGAATAACATTTTAGAAAGGGCTGCACTGCAGCCAAGACTAACCCTGGGCTGCGGTCCACACTCGCTCTCGCCAACTGCACTGATTTCCTCACTCCCCCTCCAATAAATCACTTCTTCCTGGAGTCAGAGTTAGTACAACAGGCAGGTTCCTACCTTGGTCTGGGCACTCTTATCGAACTTGTCATTTCTGAAGCTAAATGTATTCTGATGCTTCTGAGGCCTGGAACGAGCCACGTTGCCCTTCTGGGAACTCATCCCCGAAACCACAACCACCTCAAGTAGAGTGTACCTAAAAAGTTGCAGGGAAGACCAGAGAGCTTCCTCCCCAGGTGTTGACGCTTCTCTCGTGACCCGGAAGGAACTTATCCAGCCTTTCCGCCCCCAGTCGGCACACGTGACTCCCTGTGGTGGTGAAAGGACATCCTCTTGCCCTCCCAGCACTTGGTGCAGGGAACTCCACAAGGCTCAGCCTCTACCAGCGCCCCCGACCCCCCCGCCTGCGCAACCCTTGCCTCTAACCGGGTGAACAAGTCCCACTTTCTTCGAAATGAGCATTCTCCCATTGACCCGAATGCGGCAGTCCATCACGGCAGAGGGGAGGGTTTCCTCTATTCCTATTGGCTCTTCCTTTCCGCAATCCCCGCCTCCTGCCGAATCCGTTCAGCCTCTCCGGAAGTCGGCTGCGCTACCGACTCTACTGAGCGGCTTGTGATTGGTGCAAATTGGGCGAGGAAGGGCTTCGTCCCTCCCCACACCCGATCGCAGGCTGGAGCCCGGGTCAGCTTGGCACCTTCCTCCAGTCAGTGACCAACTCTTGGTGTAGCAAGGTCTCGGCTATCCCCCTCCGTTCCTATCCAGTGTCTTTCCCGCTACAAGAGCAAGCCCAGCGCCTGGCGGGCTGAGGAGGAGAAAGAAAGGAGAATTGAAGAGAAGAAAGACCTGGCTGGGACTGGGTGTTGTCTACAGTGCCAGAAAAGGAGGCGGTGGCAGCGTCTGCGACCACGGCCGCTCGGGACGTGAGGCCCGAGAGCAGCCGGCGCCGGCGGCCGCCGCTCCAGCTCCTCGAGCCGGGGCCGTTAGTCAGCAGAACGCGAGCTTGTGTGGAGAAGAGCCGGCGCGAGGCGAGACTCGGGGCTCCCTCAGACCCCGCGGTCCTTCGTCCCGGCTTCGGGGACTGCAGCCCTCGTGCCCCCTCCTCGCCTGGGCCCGTCCGCGGACTGCGAGAGTCCGGTGGCCGGAGCGCGGGTCGCGCCTCGTGGAGGACAACGCGTCGCAGACGTTCTCTCCCGACCCCCTCTACTCGGCATCTCGGCGGTGGCCGCCTCTGTGCAGGTGCGTGGGGCCGCGGATGGGACGCGCTGCGGCTGCGGCCGGGCTCGGGGAGGGGGCGCTAGGCCGGGAGCCGCAGCGCGGGAGGGACTGGCCGGGGCCGGCGGGGGAGGGGAGCGGGAGGCGTCTTTGTTGTTGGCGACCGAGATGCCTCTCCGCGCCGGCAAAGGCCGGAGACCTACTCCCGGTCGGGTCGGTGTATTGAAGAGGACTCTGGTGTATTGGTGAAGGGGTAGGTGGGAGGGTCCTTGCGTTCCGCGGAGCTGCTGGAGTCTAGGGGTGAGGGAGAGACGGACGCCCTGGGAAGGTCTTGGGTCCTCCCCAGCGGGGAAGGGTCTTGTTTCACTTCCTTTGCTTTTCTCCCAGTGGACCGAAAGATGGGGTCGGGTTTACATTCCTCTCCTTCGCTCTCTGAGATTCGCCGGTGCCTAGCAGCTTTCTACTCAAGGTCCTCATCGTGCCAGCCTCGATTTTAGATTGAATCTGCGCCGAGCTTGGTGATTTGTGTATTCTGGCCGGGCCGTCGCAGGGTTCTTCTTTAGATAGTTGAACTTTCATCTGCTCTAGGATATGCTCATCAGGGATCAACTTTGAATTGGAAAATTAAGAGTTTGGGTTTGAAATTTTATTTTACCCCTGAAACAAAGTTGTGGATTGTATTGTGTGGAGGATGTTCGTAGAGAGGCTCTAAACTCGGCTTCTTGTTTTTTTTTTTTTTTTAAATGTTGATCTAGTGTGAGATTTCTGCCTTTCTTTGAACATGATGCTTTAAATCAGTGTAAGGTACATTAGGTAATCAAAGGGTGAATAACGGAATATAGAGAGGGTGACCTTTAAATTTTAGCTATTTAGTTTCTGAAAGGTATTCCTCTAACACTTTCTGTATAATGCTTGATCCATAAGATGATTCATTGGCTTTTTTAAGTATTCGGTAAATAGGATTTTGGATGTCTTGTGTCAGCATTTGAAACTACTACGTTTGGACTCTAAAGTTAGAACATGTAATAAAATTAATATGTTTACGTTGACAGGAAGGTTTGCAATAATGGACTTTTCTCCATTAAGAATTAGTCTCTTCGTATGTTTATCTTAGGAACTCGGGTAATAGTCACAAACAAGACATTATTTTGATAATTACCAGGATTGCTAGTACTCAGTAATCTAAGACTGCCTAATTTCATGCTTGTTGGAGAAATTTTTTTGGAAGAAGTGGTAGTGGCCTTACTTAAAGAGCAGCGAAGTTGTGTTAAACTTCTAAAGATACAAATTCTTTTTTGTGTCATAATTGATATCTTATTTGAGATCCAGGAGGAAGTGAAAAGCTCTCTCACCCACATTTTGTCCTCTCTTTTCTCGTACTCTAGCATTAATAAGGTTAATTGGCAAGGATAGGATTAGATTTTCAGCAGTCTAGGTGGTTTTAATTTTGTCTCTTGGTGTTCAGTCCTCTAGTTGATATGTGTTTTGTTTCCTTGAGTATCTTTGCCCATTTTGAAATGTGTATGAAATGGTAGTTGACAAAGAATGTTTTATTTCGTGGGACAATAACTATACAGCATCCTAACAATTTCTTTTTTTTAAGTTAGCTTTGTGAACACAAAACTAGGCAAGTGGTATCTGTTCCAAGTTCTGTTACTGAATTGGTATACAACTCCAGGCAGTGCTATCTCACATCTGAGTCAGTTTCTCCATCTGTAATATAGAGCTAATAAAATGTGCCACCTGCTCACTTTATAGAAAAGGCAGTGAGAATTTATAAGCAACAGTTACTCTAAGTGTGTGACATTATATTCTGTTTAAAATTACCAACTGATAAACTCAAAATTTCTTCCATGTTAGTATTGGTGTCATATCCTTAGAATCAGTGATAACAAAAAAATAGTTCATTGACTTGATTGGTTTATTGCTGGTAGATTTTATTTCTTGTCTAACCAAGGTTTTTCTTTTAATTCTCAGAATTACTCCCACTTTTCCTACTCTCACATACATTGTACTATTTGTCTCTGAAACCCAATCTTCTGAGGTGGAGTGGAAAAGTAGTTTTATGGCTTTTTTAAATTTTATTTTTTAGAGGTGAAACGAGTAAAAACTAAAGAAAAGAATTACTTGAATTACCTAAAGCTAAACAATTAATGAGATGCAGAATTGAGACTTGAATGTGTGTCTTCTGACCTCTAGTCCTGAATGCTACGCTTTAGAGCAGTGTTTTCCCAACACATATAGGCCCAACATTTTCAGTCCAGGTGAACTGAGAAATAATATAGCAATATAACTATTGATGACCCACAATATAACGATTCTCCATTTACCTGTGACTCAATTGAAGAAATAAAGCTACAAATCAAAATGAGACAATTTACCTTGTAAATCCTCTTAAATTCTATTCTCTTCACCCCAGCCACTAACTTAATTAACATCCATCCTTCCTATCTGCTTGTTTATACTTAACTATCTACTTTTATATTCCAGAACACTACTTTTGTTTTTGATTGTTTTAAAATGATTTAGGCTGAGTGTGGTGGTGTACGCCTATAGTTTCAGCATTCAGGAGGCTAAGGCAGAAAATCAGTTAAGGATTTTGACCAGCCTGGATAACATAGATCCAATCTCAAAACAACAACAAAAAAAACTATTTAAATATAATGTTTATATCTTTATGTAGTTTGCTTTTTTGTCATTAGGCCAGGATTTATTTGTTTATTCAGATAGCTCTAGTATATTTTTATTGCTAATACGGTATGTACTCCATTATGTGACTATACCAGCTTTCTGTAGTTGATCATTTTAGTTGCTTCTCAATTGTTTGCTATTCAAGAATTAAGGAATATTCTTGTATACAGTCATGTACCACATAATATTTTGGTCAATAATGGACCGAAAACACAATAGTGATCTCATAAAATTGAATCACCTAGTGACTTCTTAGCCATGTTTTAAGTATATGCTGACATTCTCACAACAATGAAATTACCTAATAACACTTTTCCCAAACTATCTCTTTATATTTTTGACCCTACATCTAATTTTATCAAGTATTTTTAGTTATAGATGGACACAATACCTTTTGTTTATTCTTTTTATGTGGTGCTGGGTCTCAAACCCAGTCTCTCAAGTGTTATACCGACAATGTCCTCTCTAACATATAAGCAGTTAATTACAATACATTAATATGTATTTCACTGTGCAAATGCTTCATTCAGTTCAACTATACTTAAGTTTTAGCTGTGTGATGCTAAAACCTGACAGTCTGTTAGAAAAGTAGAATTTCAGATCCTATGCTGCTGATTCAGGTGCTGTAGGTTAATAAGATTCTCAGGTCATTTGTGTATGCATTAAATTAGAAGCACTACTAGAAGAAGTTTTGGGTACTTTGCATCAATGGATAGTAACACTGTCAATACAACAGCTACCAGTGCATATTTTAGTTGTTATATTGAATTGGGCATTCAGATACCAAAAGCAGCACTGTTGGTGAAAAATGATTTTCTAAAACTATTTTCAGTAAAGTTGAATCAAAGAAAGTGAATCTTTTTAACACAGTAGTTGAATTCTTTAAAATCATCACCTGTATTAAAGCAATGTTGGTTGCAAGTCCTGTTGAGAAATATCTGACTTTAGGGTTCTTGTTGTTTTTCCTCTCCCTCAACCCCTCTCTGAAAGTCTGTAGAATAGTTAAAAGTCATAGGACACAGAGCAGCATTATCTTTATGCAAGAAGAGTGCCTGGCTCTTTGACTTCTAATTTTGTAGCACCCCTATTCATTAAAACAACCAGAAAGCTGTAATTGAGAAAGATGACTCTGGAATATAAATCTGGTAGTCGTCTGTTAGACACCGGGTATGAGCTTATTCCACTTTTTAAGATAACTGCCAGTTTTCTCTCCAAAGTGATTGTGGACGAGAGATGTGTTCTCTGCCTTACAAATACTTAAGGCCTAACTTTTGCCATTCTAAGGAGTATGAAATGGCACATAGTGGCAGTTTTTATTTGCATCACCCAATAACTTGTGTAGTTGCTAAGACTTTCACTTATTTGTTGGCCATTCATTTTCTTTTTCTATAAATTGCCTGCTCAGGGTTACCTTTTCTTATTAAATTGTAATAATTTTTCTATTTTCTATATAACAGTACTTGGTAGGCTCTAAAGATCTGTTCTTCCAGTTTGGGGATTGTCCTTTTTACTTTAAATATGGTATCTTCTAGTGACTAAAAGATTTTTAATGCCACATTTATCATTTTATGATTTGTCCTTTTTCTAAATAAAACCTTAACAATTTTATTTATTCACATTTAGAACTTAAATTTACATGGAGCTATTTTATATACTGATGTGCTTGTGAATTCAGTTTGCTAAATAAAATTAACTCTTTTTTCTCTGAAATTGTCTTTTTTTTGTTAATATGCTATGATAAAATTATGGTGGTAATAACTGTATTTAGTTTTTAATATCCCTTTAACTTAAAAGTTAAAACTTTGCAACTCTGTCATTCTAACTCTCTCCTCTCCCCACCCCAAACCATTGCTTCAGAATATAAGCTGACCATCGGTATCACAAAAAATCTGAGCAGTTAAGGATTTCTGATTTTTCAGATTAAGGATGCTCAACTGATAGTGCCACACAGATATTCCAAAATTGGAATGACTTCTGATCCCACACATTTTAGATCAAGGATAATGAAGCTGTACTGTTTGATTCTTAGGTTTCATCTCTAGCTCACATTCAGTTTCTAAAAGTCATGGAACATGGCAGGTTCTTTTAAATACTAATCACTGCAACCTACACTTTGCAGTTTCTTTTCATTTTGGCTAGAATTTGTTAAAATTACAATCATAATTTCAAACTTAATTTTTATTTCAATTATTTCAAATTTTAGAATACATTTTATATGTAAATTTGACGTAGATATAAGACCTTTTTGTTTTCTAAGGAGATAAAAGTAAAAATGACTAAACTAGTTTTTACGTACAGCTAACATTTAAAAATGCGAAAGGAAAAATGGGCCA